CCACTCCATCCCATCCCATCCCATCCCCACTCCATCCCATCCCATCCTAGGGGCTCCGGAAGCTGCCAGGTTGGAGGAGATTGGGGTGAAGCTATTCTGAGCCTCACTTCCCTCCTGTTCTCCTCTTCCTGGTGTGGAGATCAGGGGCTGGGAGGGGAGGGGAGAGGTACAGGGATGGATCTGGGGTCGGTGCACAGCACCTGTGCCAGTGGGGAAAATCCCAGGTCACAGATGTGAGCAGTGTGCTCAGGCACACACACTCTGTGCACAGCCCCTGTCCTCATCTCTGTGCCACGGCCCTCAGTTTGCAGTGACTGTGCAGCTCCCTATTGCTCCACCATGGGCAAATGGCACTGTATCAGGAGAGCTCTCACCTGGACCCGGGCCCCAGTGTGGTCTGGAGGCTGGAAAAGGAGATTAAACACAGTGATTTGTTTCTCCACGCTGGGAGGAAAATAGGGCCGAGGGATTAGCATGGGGCGAATGCGTCCCGCCGCGGTGAGAAGTGCTCCCATCCCATCTCTGGTTGCAGACCCTATCTATCTGGCTGCAGCATCACATTCCCAAGAACAGGAGAATGTCTCTTCCCAAAGGGGGTATCAGGCTTTGCGGTACAATGCAGCCAGAAGCTGAGGAAGGGCAATAAAAGAAGACAAATGACATGCAGGTGCTGGCGGGGATCCCCTGGAATGAGCAGCACTCAGACCTCTCACCATCCCACATGCTTTTCCCACCGGCTCCCATTGCAGGGTGGTTTTCTTTTTTTTCCTCCTGATGTGTGTGGTTCACGTGCAGCAAACGTGCTGGGAATTTCTGCTCCCCAGGTAATGGATCCAGCTGCAAAGCTGCTGTGCTTTCTGGCCCAGGGTTTGCTCACTCAGGTCTGTCTCGTATTTTGAGGTTAAACCAAGCAAAATGTGAGAGATTTAAGAGCAAAGCTGGGCGGGGGAGGACCTGGGTGGGGGGGGAGGAGAGGGTTGAAAGCTGAGTGGGAAGCAAACAGAGCTGTAAAGCTGAGGTTGGCCTCTACAAAAGCCTCCCTTCCCCCCATGAACTGCCTCAACTTCCAAACCACCGCTGGTTGTGGTCCCTAAATTACAGCATGGTTTGATACCTGTAGGAGCAGCACCAGAGCCATCAGAGGGTGAGCTCAGCAGTGTTACAGCCACCTGGCTGCACCCCCAGCCCCAAGGACTTGCTCTGCCTTGCAGAAAGAAGCAGGTCCTGGTCTGGGCTGGAGCAGCAGCACGGAGTCCCTGTACCCTCACCGACTGGACTTTCACAACTCATCTCTGCATCTCTGCAGGGAAGCTAAACAAAGTGCCTTTGGATGTTGCCCTCCACGAGGGTGCTCAGCATGGATGGGGATGGCGTGATGATGGGAATGCTGTGATGCTGGGGGTGCTGCGATGTTTGGGATGCTGTGGTGTTGGGGATGCTGTGATGTTTGGGATGCTGCAAGACTGGGGATGCTGTGGTGTTTTGGATGCTGCAAGACTGGGGATGCTGTGGTGTTGAGGATGCTACAGTGATGAGGATGCAGAGATGTTTGGGATCATGCAACGATAGGGATGCCGTGATGTTTGGGATGCTGTTGTATGGGATGCTGCAATACTGGGAATGCTGTGCTGTTGAGGATGCTACAGTGACAGGGATGCTGTGATGTTTGAGAAGCTGCTCCGTCCCCATATCTCACCAGCAGCAGCCCCATCCCTGGTCTCCTTCCAGGCAGGGAGGGCGTGCTGGGCTGACTCAGCAGCTGGATGGAGCCTGATAACGCCGCGTTATCAGCAGCCGTGGGGTTGATGGTTGCCTTGGGTGCTTTCCAGATCTCGATCCCTGCGGAGCCGCGGTGACTCACGGGGCGGGCCGGGAGGAGGGCACGCTTCCACGGCAGCGATTCGGAGCGGGCCGCCCCCGTTTCGGCAAATGAGGAAATCAGATTTGTGCCAAAGGAGCGTGGCCGCCTGACGGAGGCGTTTCGCAGTTGCTGCTGACACGATCCCATCTTTCAAACCGCACTGCGGGCGCCGGGGGATCCAGAAGCCACATCCCTGCTGCCAGCGGTGGTGCTGCGGAGGCGGGGATGCTGCGTGCGTCCCCGTGTGACATTTGTCACACTGCTGGGAGCCTGCTGGGGTGAGCCGAGCGGGCTGGAAGTGCTGCAGCTGGGAGAGCACCGGGCTGACTCACTGCAGTGTCAGGTTTGATGGCGAATGGGTTTTTCTGCACCTGCTGGCAAAGGGCAATGCCTCCCTCCAGGCCTGGCTCATCCTTGCAGCTTTTGCTGCCCGTCAGCCTGCCTCTCTGGCTCCTGTTGTGCATCCCCTGGGATGCTGCGTGCAGGCGTCAGCAAGGAGAGCTTTCCAGGAAGGCTGCTGCTCACAGCCCCCTCCCTCCCACAGGGCGAGATCTGAAGACGTGCTTTGGTTGTTTTTTTCACATGTGCTGAGCACGCTCCTGCCATTTCCTTATCAAATTTCATTGCATCGATCTGAGGCACGGCTGTGAGCCAGACTCAGTTCCTTCTTAATGCATTTCTGGTGGGTACAAACGTCCTAACAACATCCCAGCAGGGTTTCCTTGGCTCTGCCTTCGGCTCCCAGCCCTGCTGCCCCACATCCTGCACGCTCCAGGCTCATCCCTGGATCGGAGCCCATCACATCTGAGCACCCTGTGTTTGTTGTCCTCACGGGTGCAGACCTGCTGCTGACCATCCCTCGGCCACGTCCCCACGTGGTGGCTGCCCTTGTGGAGCTGGTGACAGCCAGACGTCGTCGTGACAGCCGGGTTCACACAGAGGCGAAGGGCAGAGCTCAGCTCCCACTCTGACTCACCAGCACAAGCAGCTCATTTAGCTAGCGCCCTATTGAGACATCTCAGCAGCCTCATCCAGAGCAGTAAAAGCCACAGACAGGACGTGGGGCCGGGTGTGGGGCTGAGCCCTGCTGCTGGCAGATCCTCCTGGAGCCGACAGGCAGCTCTGTCGATTGCAAAGGTGCTGCAGCAGCAGATTGGGTTTTGCTGAGGTAGGGATGGAGCAAAGCATCCCCCCACGGGGACAGCCCACCTGCCAGATAGCCACGGCTGCGTGGGGATGGGAGCTTGGAGCCCACAGCATCTGTGATGGGAAATGCAAACCAGATTTGGGAAAGGGTTATTTGTGCATCTGGCATTGCAGGGCAGGCATCATTAGCAAAGAGTGTGAGACAGATGTTGGGACAACAGCTGGGGACTGTCTGTCTGCAGAGCGCTTCTGGTGAGCAAAATGCTTCGGAAAGAAAAGGGAAGGGGAAAGGGGGGCTGATGGGGCGGGCTGGTTGCCCTTAGCGCCTTGTCAGTGCTGACTGCATGAAAGCAGCCTTATTGCAAGGTGAGGAACACGTGCTGGGCCTTTCACAGCAGTGTGGGTGTTGCTGGGAGCATCGTGTCCCAGCTGTAATTGCTGGGCTGCAGGAGTTTCTCCCTGTTCTCCCGTGCCCAGACCTGCTCCTGCAGCAGCAGCCCTGCAGATAAGCAGGTGTCAGGATGGGGATTAGAGCCTATTTACCACCTCGCTGCCCAGACATGCAAAATAACAAAAGCAATTAGGAAAAGGTGGTGAGGACAGCAGTGCTAAACCGGGAGCAGGTTTGCATTTCTGTGCCCAGGGTAAGAGGGGTGACTGCAGCCCAAAGCACTGAAGGAAAGGGCCAATGGCAAAGTGTGAGTCGCTAATTTGCTCCCGGTGGTGCAGCCACGGAAGGAATCCAGTCTGAATAAAGCCCTTTCTGCTCTGATTAATTATCCCCCCCTGGTTATGAACAATGCAGAGCAACACAGGGATAATATTCTCGCGAGGGAGATGGGGAAGACGGGCACCCAAACGCTGCCATTAACGAGGCTAAATAGCCAAGGCTGGCTCTGAACGCATTAAAGTGGCCGAGGGAGCCCTGGGAGGAAGGAATGTCCCCTATTAGCCGAGCCCCGAGTGGCCCTGCCACCACAATAGGGCCGAGCTGCCCTGCTCTGCACTGCCTGCTGCTGCCCCGGGTTCAGTTCAATGTCAGCCCAGCATCCACAAGCTGCAAATTACCAGAGGGCGTTGAGGCTCTTTCAGCCCCACTGAACCCTATCCACGGGGAAATAATCCCACTGCACATCGGGGAGTTCCTTCCAGCACTGCAGCTCGGTTGTACCCAAAGCACGAAGGTTTTACAGATGGAGAGCTTTGGGGTTTCTTGCCAGCCACCCGTGGGGGAGGAATGCAGGGAGAGCTGCAAAGCTTGGCTGTATTCCTCTGGGTTCCCTGCAGGCTCAGTGCTGCCCTGGGCTGGGAACCCACTGCTGTTGGCATCTTTGCATCCCCAAGAAGTGAATGGTGCAGGAATACCAAAGCAATGGGAACCATCGCAGCGGTGCAACGGGGGACAGCTGTGCTCCAGCTGTGAGTCTCCCCCCCAGGTAACCCGTGGCTCAGCAGTTAATTGCCTTCCCTTTAAAGCAGGGAAATAAATGTGCTGGGTTTACTGGGCAGCCTGGGCACGTTTTATGGTTGCCACCCACCGCAGTCCGGACCCAACGCCGCCTTCAGGCGATGACCTCCGTGGCAGCAGAAGCACTGGGAGCAGTTGAAATGTGGCAGTAAGGATTTGGCTTCATCCTTAACCGCTGCCTTTCAGCACGTCATCCTTCATCCCTCTCACAGACTTCTGCTCCCCCAGCCAGCCCCGCTCCCATTGTTCCTCTGGGTTTATTTGTTTTGAAGAGCTGCATTTCCAGCTGATCGCTAGCATTTCTGGGGGAGTTTGTTTTCAATTTTTGTAGAAGAGCCCCCAAAAGGCACCGAGCTTCGCTGCTGTGGGGTGAGCCTCATCCAACCCCACCTCTGTGCTGCACCCCGGCTCGCAGGGCGCAGTGCGGACGCTGTTGGGTTTGCTGTGTGTGGCATCACCCGTAGGTGTGGGGCTGAGGGTGTGTGGGATGTGACAGCCCCAGGGGCTGCAGGAGGCAGGATGGATGTCCCTGGTGCTCTGGCGGAGGTGGCAATGGGATGCAAAGCACTGTGAGCAAGTCCCAAAGGCGCCTTCACTTCCCTTCTGCAGTGCGCTATGGAAGTCCCTAAAGACCTCAGACCTATATGGGATGCCCTGTAGGGGATGCTGGCAAAAAGAAGCCAAGCAAGTAGCAGCTTTGCTGACTGTTTCCAGTTGGAAAGGGAAGGGTTTGTGGCTGTTTCCTGTTGGGAAGGGAATGGTCTGTGGTTATTCCCCGTTGGGAAGGGTTCGTGGATGTTTCCAATTGGGAAGGGAAGGGTTTGTGGCTGTTCTCAGTTGGGATGGGAAGGGCTCAGGGTTATTCCCCATTGGCAAGGGTTCGTGGCTGTCCCCAGTTGGGAAGGGAAGGGTTTGTGGTTTATTCTCCATTGGGAAGGGGTTGTGGTGATGCCACGGGCTCAGCCCAGGGTCCCTGCCCCTGCCTGTGTCGAGGCATTCCCATGAGAACAAATTCCTGTGCCCAGCCACCTCCACCTCCCCTCCTCTTCCCCCTGCTTAATTGCTTTGCAAATGTTAAATGTTTTGGCTCAGCATCCAGACCCCTGTCTGGCTCCTGTAGATACAGCCTAACCCTAGGGGAGCGCCGGGGCACCGGCCCCTCCGGTCCCCTCTTTGCCATAGCAGCGAGCCCCCGCCAGGATGGCCATTGTGTCCCCCTCCCCTGGACGGAGCACCTGGAGACCTCCTTGTAAAAACTTCATTTGCTGGGGAAAGCTTTGATTAAAGCTGCCTGGCGGGGGGCTGCCCCACTCCCGAGTCAATATTGGTTTTGGAGCAGATGGGGGTGAGATGGGGGCTGCGGGCTCGGGGCCGGGGGATGCCTTGGGGGCCCACGGCAGCGCTGCTGAGATCAAAGGGGGGCAGACCCGGCGAGGTGGGGCAGCCCCGCACACTGGAAACCTCTGGGAACAAAAGCATCAAAGTAAATCAAATGAAACTAATTGAAGAGCTTTAGCATTAAATAACGAGGGAGAGGCTTTCATGAAACGCCAGCTTCTCCCCGTCAAAAAAAAAATCCGGGGGACTTGCTTCCAAGAAACCCAACACCACCGTCCTTCACAACAACAATCCCTAAACCCAAACAGCGTGCACAAAAGGGAGAGATCAGGATGGATGTGTGAGCCCAGAGGGCCGTGGGGGGGGAGGTGGGCACCCCAAGCACGTTTTCCCATATCGCTCCAGGCCCTGGGATGCGGGCAAGTTGTGATGCAGGCACACAGGAATGCTCAGAGCATCGCTGCACTCGTCCAGCTCCAGCTCCCAAAGCACCGTGCCTGCCCTGTCTGCACCAGCTGGGCCATAGGAGGTGTTTGCCCATTGCCACCAACGGCACTTTCTCATCCTTTGGGTTTAACCCACTCTTGGCCGGGCGTGAGGTCAGTTTTCCATCCCAAAACAGAGTGGGAGCAGTGATGGGATCGACACGCAGCCCCGCACCCCCCTGCCAGCCCCTCCTGGGAAATGAAAGCAGAGAGAAGCAGGGATGGTTTTCCCTGTGAGAAGGAAAGCCATTGAAATGTCCTCGTTAGCCGCTGGCTAAACCGGATTGTGGCCATGATGAAAGAAACCCACATGAAGACAATTAGACTAAATTATGTCCAGTCACAGAAGACAAGTTAACAGCGAAATGCGAGGCAGTCCGACTCCAGCCAGGCTCGATGTCTGGCTTACCCCATCGCTGCCACTCATACATCACCGATCAAGGGAAGCCCCTGCAGGTTGTTTTAAACCAGGGCCAGCAGGAGGTTGGGCTAATGAGTAAAATCTGAACATTCCTCAAATTTCCCATCCATCCCAGGGTGAGGGGAGGGTGGGGAAAGGGGGATGGGGACACAGCGGCTCACGGCGGAGTGACAAAGCGCTGGGAGCAGAGAGATGCCAACCCCACGTGCAGCTGAGCTGTGCCAGCCTGGAGGAGAAGCCCTCCACCGAAGCATCCACCTCTGCCCATCCCAATAGGGTGAAATGAAGCTGGGGTGATTAACGGCGTGGTTGCTGCCGTGGTTGGGCTGGGTTTATCCAGTGAAGCACCCTTCTGTGGGGTATGCAGGGATGTGGGTGGTGGGGGCACAGCTGGCACAAGGGATGCTCAGAGCAATGCGGGGCTGCTCAGCCCCCTGCGTTCCCGCAGAGACAACCCAAGAGCCCACTCAACTCCCTGCCTCATCCATAGCAAAGCCAATAAATAAATAAACCTCGCCCACCTCTTTGGGGTTCTTTAACAGGGGTGTGTGGAGGAGGGGAAAGGTAATTAAAAGACATCAAAGAGAGGGCAGGAAGAAAAAAGGCATTTTCAAGAGGGAAGAAGAGGGGAAGCAGCCATTGCTGATGGATACAATTGCAGTGCTTGAAGGCACAGAGCAACTCACCCATGGGACACCCCAAGGACCCTCCCCAGGAGCGAGACCTCAGCAGAGTCCCCTCCTTTAGCATCCCTGTGATGATGAAGGTGATTTTGGCTTCTTGATGTTGACAATGGCCAACTCTTTCTGCAAGGGAGCAGCGTGGGGATGCGGGGTACCAATGGGATGTGCAGCCATGGGGAGTGGGGTGGATGGATGCAGAGCCCACTGGGTTGAGCACGCGCAGCAAGTCAGAGCATAGGATTTTACTCATCCTTCGAGCCTTAAACCCATGAAATTAACAACAAAAAAAATGCAATTAGAAGAGAGGAAAAGACGGGAATTAATCAGTAATCAACTTTTACCCTTTCTCTTCGTTAATGAAACCAGCATATGGTCCCCATCCCGAAGACCAGCCGCCTCCTGCTCGTGGCTCCTCTCCCTCTGCCACGCTCGTTCCCTCCACCGCGTCCCCGTCTCCATCGCCCTCTCCCTGGGATTTTAATTACATTCATCTATTTCCACTCACTAGGTCTGTCACTTTGCAGCGGGGCAGCTGTAATTATGCTGTGGGAAGCAGAGCTCACTTCGCCGAACCCTGAGCGGATTAAGGATCCTCCGTGCCTTTTCCCACCCCTCTCTGCCAGGTACCTGCACAAAGATGACAGATGGTCAGGGACCATTTATTTCCCCTAATGAGCTGGTATAAAAGGAGATGGCTCCCAAAACGCGTGTATATTTTCGGTTAACTCAAAATGCCCCAAACTCCCGTGGCTTTGGTTGGGAGATTGGGAAGGGTCTGAACCTGGAGCGTGCCAATAAAATGGGGATTTGGGACTTCTGTGTGTGGGAAATAGGGTTGAGGGACGTTAAAAGTTTCAGCACATGCTCAGCTCAGCCAGAAGCCAACACAACAGTGAGGCTTAGGGCTGCTGATGGGCGCTGGGGGTTGCCAAAGGATGAGGAAGATAATTCCAACATGCAGAGATTATGGCATGAAAAGGGCGCAGGGATGCGGAGCCTGAGCTGATGCAAAGCACCAGAGCTTGGAGGATCTACACAGATTTGTGCCAGTGGACAGCTAATCCACGCAACTTTGGGGTTTAATCTCCATGAGCACCTTTTTCCCACGCTGCCTTACACCAGGCATGGGCGCCCACCTCCAGCCCGCAGCCCCCAGCCTCAAAGCTTTGGGATGGCACGGGTTTCTTACCCAGGAGAGAAACGGGTTTGCTGCTCCCATACATTTGCTGGAGGCAGCACCAACGCTGGGTCCCAAAGTCAGCACTGAGGAATGGTGCGATGGCCAACAAGACTGTCCTGGGAGGAGAAGTGCTGGGAAAGCCAAGGGTCCTGACCCGTGCTGGTAATTAAAGACCCCAACTGTGGTTTTTGCAATGGGCAGGGCTGTGCTGGCTGGGCTCCAGCTCGGGTAATTGCATTCAGCCCTGCAGCCCCGCGGGCGGCTCGGTGGCAGCTGTGACATGGCACAGTGAGCGCCGGGGCTGCGGGGCGACGTGGGGGCACCCAGATAAAAGGTGAGCACGGGGTATTCAGCGCCCAACCCCGCTGCTAGCTCATTAAAAGACAACATTTGCAGGTCCCCTTTAAACTGTTTATCCACTATTGAAAATACCATATGTTACACGTCCATGAAGATCAGCTTTCAGCCGCAAGATAAGCTGCCTCCATTTATTGTTCTTCCTTTTCTCCCTCCTCCCTCTCTCCCTCCCACCCCCTGGGCTTTTAATTACATCCATCGCCTCCCAGCCTGGGGATGGTGCCTCCTCATAGCCCTGCAAAGGAACAGGGCCCAATGCTTCCCTATGGAAGAGAGGGATGGTTTTGCTTCCCGCACGCAAGTCCTAAAGCGAGCGACATTTAGCAGCCGCCGTGAAATCTCAGCCAAGATTGGAATTTATTTTAAGACGCCAGCCTTTAAATTTTTCATTAAACCTTTTCCCCCTGTGATGCAGCAAGCTTCTGCGGGGACCGGGGGAACGGCGTGTTTGCATGCTTAGCACGTCAGGAGGGGAGGAGGGTGTTGCTTGGGTAAAGATGCCCCAGTGCACATCCTTGTGCTGGAGCAGGAGCTTGCCCCAGGCTCCCTTAGCTCTGGGTGGGCTCTTGCAGCGCTGCCTGCTGCTGCAGGGCTTGCTGGAAGCACGCTGCCAGCAGGGTTGGCTGCTTGCAGCTCTGTCAGCCTTCAAGCTGAAATTCTCTGTGACTTTTGCAGGGAAGGCGATGCCTGGAGGAGCACCGAGGGGATGAAGCAGCCTGCAGGAGATCTGCTGCCTTCTGTCCCTGCTGGATACACGGCACGGGCTCTGCTTGCTGCTAGATCACCCCTTCCCACCACCACATCTGCGACACCGGGAACTTCTGCAGAGCACAGCTACATGCAGGGTGCACCCAGGCACACGGGGGAGGTTTGTGCAAGGCAGCAGCTTCCAGCCCGAGCTGCCTTGTGTTCTGTGTGCAGCAGAGAGGTGTATCATTAATCTATTAATTATTCACACCGCGCCAGACGGGCGCGCGGAAGATCAGACGGGGATTGCTGGCTCCCAGCGAGCTCCTCGACTCTCCTTATGTCAAGAACTGCTCTTCAGTCACAGGCACGTTGTCACCGGCCACCTGCATGTGACAGGGCAATCTTTGTTAAAATCCCAATTAGCAGATAATAAGGGCAGCATGAAACAATCTCTCAAGCCAGATTGGCGCCCGCCCTCCTATTCTTTTCATTTTTTTTGTCCTTTCCCTCTCTAAAATAAATATTTCTCACCAAAACCTGAGGGCAAGAGGCAGCTCAGGTGAGTGGAGGAGGGACAGAGCAGAAGGGTGAAGGATGCTGGAGGGAAGCCCTGCATAGAATCATAGCATTGTAGAGTCATAGAGATGTAGTATCATAGAACCTTAGAGCTGTGGAATCATAATGCTATAGAATCATAGAGTGCTAGTCATAGAACCATGGAATCATAGAGTGATAGAGTCACAGAACCATGGAATCACAGAGTGATAGTCATAGAAACATGGAATCATAGAGTGATAGAGTCATAGAACCATGGAATCACAGAACTGTAGAACTGTAGAATCGTGGAATCATAGGATCATTCAATTATAATCATGGAGTCACGGACTCAAGGAACCACTGAATGATCAAACGGTTGGGTTGGAGGGACCATTAGATACAACCAAGTTCCAAGCCCACCATGGAGTCCATCCCTACCCGGATCCCACAGTGTTGGGTCGCTGGAAGGCCCTGAGCAGTTTCCTTTTCATTACTTGCTTGTAGCTGCCACAAACCATTAATGCAGGGTGATGAAGGCTGAGTGGGGCCAACAGGCCTGAAAGCCACTCTTTCATCCAGGTCTTCAGTAAGAACAACTGGAGGAAGCTAGAAGAGCTCATGGTCTGCATGGTGCAGGGCACGGAGAGAGAAAGCTATAGAAGGAGATGTGAGATTCTCTTTGCAAGGCTTAGGGCAACAAGTATTGGGCTCAGTGAAGGTCTTTCCAACCTAGGAGCCATGATCCCATGAGGTACACAGTACCAACCCTGGAGGTGCTCCAAACCATGGGGATGTGGCACAGAAGGTCAGTGGGCACGGTGGGGTGGGTTGGATGTGGTGATCTTGGAGGTGTTTCCAACCTGTGATCCCAAGCACCACGACTGCCACAACTTCACGGGGAGCAGTGTGCCAAGCTGGGTGCCCTGTCCCCTCCACCTACCTAAGATCACTCCTCTTGCCATTCCAGGAGATTTTTTTTTTTGGTATAAAATCAACACCACGAAAGATCGTGATCTTGTCAAAGGAAGACATCAGGGCACTTTTCTCATCACTGTGTGCACTGCGGTGACTCATTTGCTTATTTTTAACTGGGGCAGGTCCTACCGAAGGAGAAAAACGACTCCAAGCATGAGTGACAGTGATGGGGGATGGAGTCCTAACATTAATCTTCTCCATGCAGGTCTGAAGAAGTGGAACCCTCCACTGAACGCCACGTTGTCTCATAACCCTTGTAAACAAGGTGGACTTCTTCAAAATATTTATTTTAGGTATCAAATTGAATGTTCCAGCTCTTGGGGAATTCGATTCGCTCTTTGCAGGCAGGGATCCCAGTGCCTCAGCACACAGCTTTAAAAGCATTGCTCCACTCTTTTGGATTAGTGACCCATTCTAACAGGTCCTCACTGACCGCCGCTGTGGGTCTCTCAAAGAGTCCATTGGAGGCAGCTTACAAAGGAGTTGAGCCGGAGATGAAGAGTTTACAAAAAGTTTGTAGGAAACCGTGGAGTCCTTTTAAAAGAGAATAAACTGCCACTGCTGTGTCTGGGCTGAGTTAATCTGATTAGGCCAAGCTCATCAACAGCCCTGCTGAAAGGAGTGAGGGGGAATTCAGGCTGGGGCGGCCCCAGAGAGAAACCAGGGACCTTTTTAGCATGGAAGTCAAACAAAACCCATTGTGGCAGAGCGTGCTCGCCTACAGATGGCAAAATGACACATCTTTGCAAAGGCAAAGTAAATATCCTTGATGGTTTTTCTCTTTTTTTTTTTTCTTCTTCTCCTCAGATGTGAGATTAACAGATATCAAAGTGAATGGGGCTGTGAAGCACTGTGGATACGTGTCCTGGCTGCTCAGGTTGATGAAGTTCACCTTCTCTGAGTAAAACGTGGAGGGATAGGCAGCCCTTACACCCAGCACTGCTTCTCCCCTGTCCCTTGGGAATTGCATGGGTATCTACATGGGAAGCAATGCAGACCCAGCGTCCACCAAAGCACACGGTGGTGGTGGGTTGGTGGTTGGGCTTGGTGATCCTAGTGACCATTTCCAACCTTAATGACTTGACAACTCTATGATTCCATGCTCCATCATCACCCCCTTTGGGCCATCCCTCCGTGGATGACCAGGCAATGCACCACCAAGGCTCTGCAGCAACCTCCTTGCAAACCCAACCACTGCATCTTCTCGTGGCCGTAACATCCCTAAGCAGCAGCATTGCACTGCAAGTCACCGCACTTGGACGACGTGCTTGCATGATGCCCTTATATGATGCACTAGCAAGAAGCAATGACACCATGCACTTGTATGATGCACCAGCATGATGCACTTACATGATGCACCTCCACGATGCACTTGTATGATGCACTTCCACAATGCATTTCTATGATGCACTTGCACAGTGCAGCCAAGGAAACGCTGCCTACCAGGTCTTCTCTCCTCCCCCTTTTCCCCAGGTTTCAGCACGGCAATCCCGCAGTTTTGACCTTGGAAAGCACTGCAGCATTTGACCAAACACCTGAACAAGACTTCAGCCCCCACTGCATCTCGTAGAGGCTGTGCAGGGCCAGGCAGCGCTCATTGTGGGCAAAAGAAAACCCCTAATTAAACACCCCGTCGGGAAGTGACATCCCCACCACTGCTCTGCATTAGAGGAACCAGGGCCGTGCTTGGATTTACCACAGGCAGCTCCTTAGCCAATATAATTAAGAACAGTATCAGTGGAAGGCATGTAAGGAGATTTTCTCCCCGAGGCCACCTAATACAGATGTAATTGACTCTATTTTCTGCTTTCTGCACATGGATTGCCGCAACTCAGCCCCTATTATCCGCCAACAAATGAACAGGATCTGCTGAAAGGACCTCTCCAGCCAGGGCCAGGCGCAGAGAATGGAGCACTGGGCTGTGTTAAATCCGGACACAACGCTCTCCTTCCTTCCCTTTTCATCTCCGCCGCCTTTTCAAGATGTTTTCCATGCGGGATAAGTCAGCAAGATTTGGGTTTTGGGCAAAGCGTTGGCACTCGGGGAAAGAAGGGAACATCTGTCCCAATCAGCTGTGCTATTCTGCGCCGCCCCACAAAACCGGGCGATGCCTTCGAGAGGGGCTTTGTGAGCACGGCTGCAATTTCCTTTCGCTGCGATTTCGAAGGGCGGGGAAGGAGGAAGGGAGGTGAGAAAAGAAATTAAACCCCATTGGCTTTGTGGTGAAAGAGGCCCTGAAAAAAAAATCTCCATTTCCAACGCTGCAAAATCCCCGCCGCGTTCCCACAGCCGTCCCCCAAAAGGATGTCCTCAGCAGCAGAGGCACAAGGAATAATAGTTTGTTAGTGCAGATAGCAATTTGCTTAGCAATACCCTTGCTTACAGCTGAAGGGGCCCCAATGCTTCCTTGGAGCAAGAGATGCTCTGAGCTTCCCAATGGTGCACATGGGATGCAATGGTGCAAGGGATGCACCCCAATGGTGCACATGGGATGCATTGGTGCAAGGGATGCATCCCAATGGTTCACGTGGGATGCAATGGTGCAAGGGATGCATCCCAATGGTGCACGTGGGATGTGGTGGTGCAATGATGCAAGGGATGCACCCCAATGGTGCACATGGGATGCAATGGTGCAGTAGTGCAAGGGATGCATCTCAATGGTGCAAACGGGATGCAATGGTGCAAGGGATGCATCCCAATGATGTACACGGGACGCAATGGTACAAAGATTTTCCCTCTCCACTTCTGGGAGCATTGGCCTGTCTGACCCTGCTAATTAACTGTGGCTGATCAGAGCACTGAGCTCCAGAGGGAAGACTTGTCCCATGCTGCCTCCCATGCAACCTGCCAGTCCTGATGTCTTCATTCCCTTCCAGCATCCCTTCATGGAACACAACCCCAAGCACACTGCACGGCAAGGGATGAGCACAGGGGATAAGGTGGGAGAAATCTTGGGGGGTGACAGCCTGGCCACACACAAACAGCAGCAAAAGGGCCCAGCTGCCAGCCCCACACAGCCTCCAAAAAAGCCCCATGCAGCCCCCACCACCCTGGGCCATTTCTCAGCTGCAAAGCTTTTCAAGGGGGCTCCCATGTTTTCCGAGCTCGGCTGCAATCAAGTTGGGTTTAGGGATCAAAGTGCACGCATCTGAGGGAGCTGTTTGCGCTCCTCTGTCCTCTGATCCAACAGAAATACAGGGATTAAATCCGTGATGCAGCACTCGGAGAGCAAAGAGCCCTTCAGGTAGTTTGGTGTGGGGGGTTATGTGTGTGCAGGGGGGGTTCTAAGTGTGCAAAGGCCGTTGCAACAGCAGCAGTGCAATCTGGTGCAGAAGGGTGTGAGCGTGCAGTGATGGGGGGGACCAACCGGGGGGGGTTTGTTGCAGAAAGGTGAAAGCAAAGCAGAAAAGCAAAGCATGGGGTGACAGCAGGCGTCGTGTTCTGTGCTGTGTGTGGTTATGATCGGGTAAGAGGGAGTTTGTGAAGAGTCAAGGGGGTGGTGTGAAAGGAGAGTTGGAATTGCTATGGGGTTGGTGAAGGGAATGAGAAAGGATAGGGGGGAAAAGGGGGGAAGGAAGAAAAAAGAGAATAAGGGAAAAGGGAA